TAAAAACAAGCTCTGGTATGACTAGTGGAGTGCCTGGTGTTTGTGCTTTCGGTGTATTCTGTCCCAGCTCCTTCTCAAAAGAAGGAAGGGAGTTTAGATCATCAACGGATAATCTGGGTGAATGTGTTGTCTCATCAATGCCAGAATCTTCTGAAACATTGGAAGTCGTCGATTTCAGGATTGTTCTAGGCACAGGGCCTGTTCCGAACTGTTCATGAATCTGATCGATAATCTCGTCCTCAGCTTCACTCTCACAAGAGCTTGTCGTATGTGTATCACCACGTTCCAGGGCTTCATGATACGCTTTCATCAACTGCTTCACATCATACTGTGTCAGTGTTAGTTGATGCTTATACTCAGGAAGACTCATCCTTGGTGTTTTTTCCGCTTTGAATGATGGTCTCGAGCTTTTCAGAGTGCTGGCTCTGCTCCTGGCTTTGGATGGTGAAATCGAATGCGCGTCAACTGATGCTGTTTGACCCATTTTCACTGTGATCGTTCGTATTTATGTAGCAGTTGCAGTTGGTTGTTTTGGAAGTCCGAGTTGGCTCCAAATCTTTAAAGAAACTTTGAGGTCAAGTATGCACGGGACTAACGGACTGACGGCAACGTTTTTAGGAAAATATATAAAAGACTGAGGAAAGGAGGAAAAAACTGCAAAGAAAAACGCATACGCTACACATTATATTATAGAGATCAAATTATATTGATAAACTTATAACTTTGATAAAAACTCAGTTATTTCTATTATAAAACAGAAAGGTAGAGCTTAAAAACCTCTGCTAGTGCTATTTATTCTGGAAGTGCTTACAATGAAACTCCTCAGTGGACATCTATAATGAAGGAATGTCCATTATGCTAATGATAAGCTTTCAATAGTCACACATTCAAATAAAAAACCTTTTATGATGAAAAACTATTGAAAAAACTAGACAATTCGAAGTGAATGGCGCCAGTCATTGGAATTTACTAACCCGCACGCGCTAAAAGAATAAACATTCAGTGGCTAATGAAGCTTCGACACAAAATAAGGGATCTGCGTCCTCTGATGAAAAATTATTGCTTATTGCTGCCTGCGATCCCTTTTAGAAAAGGAGAAGTGCGTTATTCGAAAAACGAAAAGCGTTTGAAAATTACAAGTATAGATGAAGTTAACATTGTTGTGTCTTTAAATAATTTTCATAATTTTTTGTGAAGCTCATCTCGCCGCTCTTTCATTGCA